AATCTGTTACTGATTCTGTAAAGGATATGCAACCAATCTGTTACTGATTCTGTAAAGGATATGCAACCAATCTGTTACTGATTCTGTAAAGGATATGCAACCAATCAGTTAAAAATCTGTTTAAATCTACCAAACTAAGGATCTTATTGCCAGTGCTTGTATGTATCTTCTAAGTTCAGATGTTAAAGCCCACATTTCACGGGTGTAGGTGAAAGTGCTGAGGAGCTGCTGGTTGAGTAGTTAGCGGCCTTAAATCCTCAGCTCCCGACACCCCCCCCCCCCCCACCGCCACCTAAAAGGTTAATACAGGCAGCTTCTTCTTATCCGTGTTTGCTGGCAGTAAACGCCGGTGGTAAGTTCAGGTTGTTTGTCCACTTCTGGACTTTACTCTTTTCCAAAACTGAGTTTTGCATGCAAAAGATCTGGCTTATATGTATGCAGACTCTTGGTTCCTCGCCTCTAAGGCAAATGCACACCGACTAAAGAAGAAATACACATAATTACTCTTTAATTAATGTTATATCATGCTTTGCTTGTTCGGTGGGAAGGGGAGTCAAGGGGCAGTGGGTCTATTTATACTCCAAAATGGGGCCCCAGAACCCACAATGGAAAGACCATCCTCAATAATGCATAGAGATTTTTTTGTTGGGGGCTAAAAAAAAAAAATCCTAACCTGCACAGCTCATGGTAACTGCACTAGCCACTCTCCTATGCACCCTTTAAAAAAAATGTTAACATAAGCAGAGAAGACAGGCAGGTGAAAGGGTTAATTGCTCTGAATACTTATGTTTTCAAGAAGATATTTTTGGACTTTCAGATTTGACATTTTTTGAGAACATTCTTGACATAATTATTTGGACCTTAGGTCATTTACAGTTAGAATTTCCCTCCAAAACTGAGCTTGGATATCAGGTAGACCCAGGCTGAAATGGGTAACAAATAAAGTCCTGGGAAGTAAAAGCCGCTGGCATGACGCTGACATCACCCATCAAGTGCCCATTAGACTATAAAATAAGTCTTGCATCATATGCCTGTGGCGCCAGTGGCTTGAAACAAGAGTCCCTTACTCCTACTTACTAGAAGAGACGCAGGGACTTGCTAGGCATCTAGAAAAACGGCAGTTGAACAGCAAATATAACAGGCCCTTTACCTATGGACACTGTTCCCTACCCTCCCTGTCCTAGATCCTTTGGGACACATTTTGGGTTTATAAGTCATCTCTGGACAAAAAAAAAATAACATCTACAGTTTCAAGACTTGTTGAAATAAAGAGTGGCCACCATCCCTTGCGATGGATGACCAACCACCAACCAACCACCAGGTCACCTATAATGGATTCTAGAAATTTAAAATGAGTTACTTACACTAAAGTTTGCGATCTGATGTTAACAGATATTTTTAAATCAGCTGCATTCTCTGTCATTACTCCTGTCTGCATTAAAATATAAAAGTTTCAAACTGTATGTAAAAAACATGCCCATTTACAGATAATTGCATTAGACTTTAAATGAAATATATAAAGAACATTAGCTAAATCCTTACCTGTGTTAGATCTCTATCTGGAAAGGCAATTCTTCTTCTTTCCCATTTGGCAGCTCTAATACACATGAACCAGTCGACAATCTCCTAAAGAAAATGACCAACAAAACAGTACATTTGTTAATTCTTGGAGAGAAGGAGACAAATCCACTGAAGCCTTCTACAAAATATCTTAAAAACCCCTTGACCAACTAAAAACACAACAACAAAATTATATGCCAAAACAAACTTAATAAAAGCTTATAAAAAAGCTACTAAATCCACCGAAGCCTTATAAAAGTGTTTGTTAAAAAAAAACCAGCATGACCAGATCAACTAAAAAGAAAAAAACTGTATGTGCCCTATCCACAAGGAAGGTTTTCTATTGTGTACCCATTGTTGTCTGTGAGAATATTATGTTGTGAGGCCCCCCATCTCTTCCACGCTGTGAAACTTACACCAATGTTAGAAAACCACCAGATGGTTTCAACAAAATGGTTTATGTCCACATTGGAAGCTGAACCCTAGTACTCGGGGATCATGAAATAATACACTCACTCACTAACCTCTATACCACAGAGCCACATTTACATCAACTCAGCAATAATGTTATCAACTCAGCAATAATGTTATAAACTCAGTAATAATATTAACCAACTCAGTAATAATGTTAACCAACTCAGTAATAATGTTAACCAACTTAGCAATAATGTTAACCAACTTAGCAATAATGTTAACCAACTTAGCAATAATGTTAACCAACTCAGTAATAATGTTAACCAACTCAGTAATAATGTTAACCAACTTAGCAATAATGTTAACCAATCTATTGGCCAAAAGAAAATAGCCCAAAAGATGACTGGGCCAATCTGCGGGCCCCTGTAATATAAACCTTGAGATTGGCTTTAAACGCTTTACTTTCAATAATTTGTGTGCGTGTAAACTAAGAGAATCCCTTCCTGAAGGCTCTATCTGTTTGGCACTGAAACTCCATCTGAAACTCCGTCATCAAAGGGTTAATCAAAACTGAGCACCCATATAAAAGTCAAGTCAAGGATTCTTCATCTCTACATGCTTTGGTAGGTTAGACATTGCCTTCATTCTTCATGCTGTTGGTAGGCTGAGACATTCATCTCATCGCCCAAGCTCTTGGTGCTTTGGTAGGCTGGACATTCTTCATCTCTACAAGCCCTTGGTGCTTTGGTAGGCTAGACATTCTTCATCTCTACAAGCCCTTGGTGCTTTGGTAGGCTAGACATTCTTCATCTCTACAAGCTCTTGGTGCTTTGGTAGGCTGGACATTCTTCATCTCTACAAGCCCTTGGTGCTTTGGTAGGCTAGACATTTCATCTTACAATCTTGGTGCTTTGGTAGGCTAGACATTCTTCATCTCTACAAGCCCTTGGTGCTTTGGTAGGCTAGACATTCTTCATCTCTACAAGCCCTTGGTGCTTTGGTAGGCTAGACATTCTTCATCTCTACAAGCCCTTGGTGCTTTGGTAGGCTAGACATTCTTCATCTCTACAAGCCCTTGGTGCTTTGGTAGGCTGGACATTCTTCATCTCTACAAGCTCTTGGTGCTTTGGTAGGCTAGACATTCTTCATCTCTACAAGCCCTTGGTGCTTTGGTAGGCTAGACATTCTTCATCTCTACAAGCCCTTGGTGCTTTGGTAGGCTGGACATTCTTCATCTCCACAAGCCCGTGGTGCTTTGGTAGGCTTTGGTAGCATTCTTCATCTCTACAAGCCTTGGTGCTTTGGTAGGCTGGACATTCTTCATCTCTACAAGCCCTTGGTGCTTTGGTAGGCTAGACATTCTTCATCTCTACAAGCCCTTGGTGCTTTGGTGGGCTAGATGTTCTTCATCTCCACACACCCTTGGTGCTTTGGTGGGCTAGACATTCTTCATCTCTACACGCCCTTGGTGCTTTGGTAGGCTAGACATTCTTCATCTCTACAAGCCCTTGGTGCTTTGGTAGGCTAGACATTCTTCATCTCTACAAGCCCTTGGTGCTTTGGTAGGCTAGACATTCTTCATCTCTACAAGCCCTTGGTGCTTTGGTAGGCTGGACATTCTTCATCTCTACAAGCCCTTGGTGCTTTGGTAGGCTAGACATTCTTCATCTCTACAAGCCCTTGGTGCTTTGGTAGGCTAGACATTCTTCATCTCTACAAGCCCTTGGTGCTTTGGTAGGCTAGACATTCTTCATCTCTACAAGCCCTTGGTGCTTTGGTAGGCTAGACATTCTTCATCTCTACAAGCCCTTGGTGCTTTGGTAGGCTAGACATTCTTCATCTCTACAAGCCCTTGGTGCTTTGGTAGGCTAGACATTCTTCATCTCTACAAGCCCTTGGTGCTTTGGTAGGCTAGACATTCTTCATCTCTACAAGCCCTTGGTGCTTTGGTAGGCTAGACATTCTTCATCTCTACAAGCCCTTGGTGCTTTGGTAGGCTAGACATTCTTCATCTCTACAAGCCCTTGGTGCTTTGGTAGGCTAGACATTCTTCATCTCTACAAGCCCTTGGTGCTTTGGTAGGCTAGACATTCTTCATCTCTACAAGCCCTTGGTGCTTTGGTAGGCTAGACATTCTTCATCTCTACAAGCTCTTGGTGCTTTGGTAGGCTGGACATTCTTCATCTCTACAAGCCCTTGGTGCTTTGGTAGGCTAGACATTCTTCATCTCTACAAGCCCTTGGTGCTTTGGTAGGCTAGACATTCTTCATCTCTACAAGCCCTTGGTGCTTTGGTAGGCTAGACATTCTTCATCTCTACACGTCCTTGGTGCTTTGGTAGGTTAGACCCTTGGTGCTTTGGTAGGCTAGACATTCTTCATCTCTACAAGCCCTTGGTGCTTTGGTAGGTTAGACATTCTTCATCTCTACAAGCCCTTGGTGCTTTGGTAGGTTAGACATTCTTCATCTCTACAAGCCCTTGGTGCTTTGGTAGGTTAGACATTCTTCATCTCTACAAGCCCTTGGTGCTTTGGTAGGCTAGACATTCTTCATCTCTACAAGCCCTTGGTGCTTTGGTAGGCTGGACATTCTTCATCTCTACAAGCCCTTTGGTAGGCTAGACTAACTTTTGTATAGACCAATAAATAGGCCCTTGATGGGAGATAGTCAAAAATCACTGTGACCACCTTTACTTCCCATGAGCCGTTTGCCTCGTGCTATGAAGGTCGTGGGTGTGTTTCATGGCAGCGCTGTCCAGTTCACAATTACAATTTTTACTCACATCCTTGGGATGGTCGCCAGAGTTGTAAAGGTTCGTGCCCTTTGCGATTGAGCAATATGGGATCATACCCGAAGCAATGAATTCGATCCTCTCACCTTTATCTTTACTTACTGGTACCCATTTTAGGCTGGTCTGACCTGGGAGTCAGGGTTGATTTTTGTTTTTATTTTTAAATAAATGTACACATAAATAGAGAATAAACATGTTCTTCCACACACAAAAAACACAAGATAAAAACATTTTACCTTAGAATTATCCGCATAGACAAACAGATTCCTTGTTGAGCCATCTTTTAAGTAGGTAATCTGCAGACCAAAAGGATTGCCTATTTTCTCTGGCACAAAGACAGCATTCAGGTAGTCCAAGTCTGCCTCAGACTTTGGCTGCCGCTGCTGAAAACAAAATATTCAATTAAATTTAAAAAAAAAATTTTTTTAAGGCAACAAAAAGCAAAATGTTAAAAAAGAAGAAACCAAATACGAGACATTTTTCATCTTCTTCTTGCATTTATCAGCTGTAAAAACCAAATGGTTGTTTGCCCTCTTCTAGACTTAAGTCTTGTTCTAGAACTTCAGCTTTTTGTGCACATCAGTTTTACAGAAGTGGTGCATGCAGACTGTTGGTTCCCCTCCTCTCAGGCATGAAGGAAAAAAACATAATTAGTAGCCTTTTATGACATTCTTTATTAAGGGGGCAGTAGGTCTAACTTTTTTTTAAACCTCAAAATGGGGCCCTGGAACCCACACTGAGGCCCCGGAACCCACACTGAGGCCCCGGAACCCACACTGAGGCCCTGGAAGCCCACACTGAGGCCCCGGAAACCACACTGAGGCCCCGGAACCTACACTGAGGCCCCTGGAGCCCACACTGAGAAATTGTGAATTCACAGCAGACAGTTTCTGGGCTATTCTTCTTCTTTCCTTCACCTGAAATAAGTCGTCTATATCAGCAATTTTGTCTCCGGTATAAATGTTACTGTTGTTGTTAGTTCATTCAGTGGTCTGTAGAGTTTAGGTTCCGCTGTTGTTCTTTCTGACCAGAAGGTTTGCCTAAATGTGTCATATTCAGTGCAGTTCCAAAGTATGTGTTCTGCTGTCTGAGGCAACTTTCCTGAAGGGCACATGACTGATACACCTAACTTGAATTCTGTGCACACGTGGTTGTGTGATCAGTTGTGTGCCTTGTTTTGAAGCAAAAGATAATGACTTGTTTTGATTTATCCCTAATAAAATAGTCATCGTGTGCTGGGGCTAGAGGTTTCCTGATGGACTCAATGATCATGTTCTCTTGGTGGTATATAACTGGCACATCCAGCTGTTCCTTTCACATACCTACCCGTTCTTGTGAGTTTTCTTCATCAATATAGCTGTGGGTGGCCATTCTGAATTGTATACTGTCTTGTTCTTTCTTGTCAGATATTTCTTTCACCTTTGTCTAGCTGTGTCATGTTAGTTTTTTTTTTCTCTACTTGGGGTTTGTTCTGCTGTGGTATCCCCGGAAAGTCATACAAATCTAGCAAAAGATTATACTCAAACAGGTTTGTTCAAGCTTGTGATACTTCTGTTATGCAAAAAATTACCAAAAGGACAAAAGCAAGGCAAAACCAAACAAACACATCAAATAAATGTCATTAAATCCTGTCGTATTTTCGAATCTACAAAACAATATTTTACAGAACTGAGTTCCCCCCGTGTGGGGAGGGGGAGGGGGTGGTCTAGGAGCCCCGTCCTGGGAGAAAAATAACAGGTTCATTGCTCCTTAACAATTATGTTATAAAAGGTGATTAACTAAGGGTCTACTCAATTCATATGTGTGGGACTAAAAAAGGCACAAATAACACAGCCCAGCTGTAAACCACAACTCTATGTGTTATTGCAAGGGCAAATGAAGAAGAAAAAGAAGAAGAAGATGAAGATGAAGAAGGGCAAGGATGAGGAGGAGAAGAAGCAGAAGAAAAATAAGAACTAAAACATTTTAGGATGTTGAACAGAGTATCTGGAAATGCTGTGCGGAAGCCACAGAGTCAAACCTTCAGATAGCAACCTAGTTGGGAAGGGGGGGGTGGAGGGGTGGGGGATACAGTCTTTCAGTCAGTCATTCATAAAATCATTGACTGTCTGATTACCTATTTCATGTCACACATGACAAAAAAAAAAATAATGTAAAAACTAAGTAAATAAAAAGACAATACGTGTATGAAAAACTTGAACCTACAAGAACAATGATTACCTTGCCATTTTCTTCATTTATATAATAGGAGAGTTTATTATCCACACGAGACAGAACAAATCTGCGACGGGCAAACTGTTTTCTGTCCCGGCCCAGTTTCCAGAGCAACCCTGTTTTAACTTGGCAGTTATAATCTGCCTGTCTGTCTGGATCTGTAAATTCTAAGCGTTGGTATTTGGCCATTATCCATTCCTTCTTTAGAACTCTGCAGAAATAAATCAAATTAAGCACAGAATTATTATTCTTACTATCGTACAAAATAGAAAGGAGAACATTGCCTTAATTTCATTTTTCTGTCTATCTACTCTCCTGTCTTCATTTCATTGTTCTGTTCTTTCTTCTCTTTCTCTACTTTTAGGTGTCGCAGGCAAGGCTAAGGATCAGTTTTCAGGACAGTGTGTGCTCGTTAGCTTTGCTGCATGGTGACATTGTTGATTGAGTTTCAGCAATCTAACCATGTTCTTCTTGGCCTTCCACTGCCTCTTAATGTTTCCATTCTCAAGTTGCATGCTCTTGCAACCGGTGGCACACTGGGCTCATTCTGACCAGGTGGCCGAACCATTTCAGTCTTTGTTTTTTTGTGTCAATAAATCTAATTATAGGTGATGTTCCCACCATTCTAAAGATATCTTTATTTCTTTTATGGTCTCTTCCTGTTATGCTGACTGCTTTTCCCAAACATCTTATTTCACACATCGTCAGTTTCCGCTCTTGTTTTTTGTTAGTGTCCAGGTTTGGCAATGATAATACAATGTTGGTAAAAATACTGCATTATGATTTGTCTTTTTAACTGGTACTTCTGGGTGTTTCAGCATTGGGGAAAGTTGATAGGTAACATTGTTGGCTTGCTGGATTCTGGACCTGATCTTTCTGTCCCGTCTGCCATCTGATGTGAAGATGCATTCATTGTTAACCATTTAAATAATATATTATATTATAATTTATTCATACTTCTTCCTATAGTCCATACAGTGTGGCATTAGTATCAAGCCTGACCTCTGTGACCAGATGTTCGCCTGAGGATCAGAAGGTCAAGGTTCCAGGTCCGGATTGTGACTGGTTTTTCCCCCGAAATGACCTTGGCTTCCAGGTACGCACAGCCTTAAATGGGTACCAGGTAAAGTCCTGGAAGGTAAAGGTAAAGCTTGATGCTGACCACATCACCCACCAAGTGCTGATTGGTCTATAAAATATAGGTCTAGCCCTATACGCCCAATACACCTAAAGCCATGAAAAAGGTTCCTTTAGTTAACCTCAGGTTTCTGCTTCATTCTGTATGACTCAATACAGAGACTCAATACTATTATCAAATTGCTTGTGTTCACTGTGTAGATCTCAGTATGGTACATATACTAGAGTTAATTAAGTATATGTTGCAACAAATCAGATTTGTCCTATTCAGATTCACTGATTTAAGAATCAACATCACAGTACACAGGGCATACCTGTAGGTGCTGCGTCTCCTGCAGCAGATGTCTCAAGGTGTAGATGCTAACTGTTCCCATTCAACACTGATTATAAATCCGTCGTTCTCTTCCTCTCATCCGCCCTCCTTGCCTGATTCACACCTAATGCCTCGTTCACACATTCTTACACAAGTTATTTCATCTAACCCCATGCCTTCTATAAGCATTCATTCAGATTTAAATTTAACATAAAACATAAAAAAAGATACCAACTCTGCAGATTGGCTTGTAGGTCTCTTATAGTAGACAGGCACACACAGTTCATACTTGTCTCTGGCTTTGATATTGCCAATCATCTCCATGACCTGAAAAAGAGAATAAGAATTGTCTGTGTGTACAAAGTTCCTGTAGAAGGTGTCGTGCTAATAGTTCTGAAACAAAATAATCAGACACATCGTTGAGGAGTAGAGGCTGAGACACTGAGACATCCACCCTCACTCTGTGGTATATATGCTCTATTTCTGTCCTATTCAAGAGATTTTTCTACTGGATGGATGTATAGTATAAATGATAAAATTGAAGTGGAGAGGACTGACCCCACTACAACAAATGTGACCCCATATGGCTTGGTGTTTCTCCGCAGAACAGCCTGCCCAAAACGTTGCACAAAGCACGAGTACAGTAGCTCTGATGATGATCCCCAGGGGTCACAGTAAAAACTGCATTTGTGAACTGAATGAGGCAGCCCTTAAACCAGTGGTTCTCATCTTTCTGAATGCGGCGACCCTTTAATACCGTTCCTCATGTTGTGGTGACCCCCAACCATACAATTATTGTTGTTGCTACTTGATACTTGTGTAAATATGTGTTCTCCCCCCAGAGGCCATGACCTTGTAGTGGTGGGGGGAGCTTGAGAGCCTTAGTGATTTAGTGAGCTATGCTGGCGGGAACGTATGTTCCTGGCAGGGTCACCCAAGCCGGACAGGTCATTGGTGAGGGGCCAGACTAAAGATGGCCTCCCGGTCCTCCAGACTCGGGGGTTGGGCGCAGTGTTGACAGCTCTGCCCTGTAAAAAATCTACAACGTTACTGAAACTTCAAGAGGAAATAAGTGCTCTAAACATCCGGTGGTCTGGGACAGAGTCCCTCTGTCAGCATGAACAACATGGGTGAAAGCCGAAAGGAAGCCCATGATGGGAAAACAAGTCTGCTGGATGTCAAAACCAAATTAAGAATTGGCTTCTGGAATGTAAGAACCATGTTTAAAACGGCCAAAACCGCCCAAGTAATTAAAGAAATGCAGAACTATAAACTGCATATTCTTGGAATTAGTGAAAGCAGGTGGACAGGGTTTGGACAATCCACAACAGTTACAGGAGAAACCATATACTCTGGAAGAGATGATAACCTACATTCTGCAGGCGTGGCACTCATTCTAAAGAAAGGTGTGCATAAACATCTTATCGAGTGGCATCCAATTAATGAAAGACTTATGACAGCACGATTCAATAAGAAACATGCCAAACTTACAATTATCCAATGCTACGCTCCGACCAATAAAGCTGAGGACGAAGATAAAGAAACATTCTTTAGGAGACTGCAAGAGGTAGTAGATAAAGTACCAGCCCATGATATTCTATGCATTATGGGAGATCTCAATGCAAAAGTTGGTAACAACAACATGAATAGAGAACTATCAATGGGAAATCAAGGATGTGGTACAATTAATGACAACTGGGAAAGACTGAGCGACTTCTGCACGACAAAGAATATTCACAAGCTTACATGGATATCCCCAAATAGAAGAGATGCAAACCAGATTGACCATTTCATGGTAAATAGAAAATGGCGTGGGTCCCTACAAAGGGCGTGGGGGGAGACGTAGGAAGCGCTCATCACCTTGTAGTTGCTCTGCTAAGACTTAAACTAAAAAAAATTCACACGCAAGTTAAAACACAGACAGCACGCTACAATGTTAACCTTTGAAGAGAAAAAGACATTGCCACTAAATTTATAGTAGAACTCAAGAATAGATTTCAAACCCTATCAAGTGACCCAGACACTCAAAATGCAATGAGCATTCAAGACAGATGGAACCAGATCAAAGAAACATACAAATCAACTAGCAACAACATATTAGGAACCAGGAAACAACATCACAAAGAATGGATAAGCAGTCAAACCATGGACTATATTGCCAAGCGAAAAAGAATAAAGATTCTCATAAATCAGAATGACAAACTAATGTAAGAATATAGCGAACTAAATAAAATGACAAAGAAAAGTGAAAGAGCTGACAAAAGAAGATTTATGGAAAATCTAGCAGAAACAGCAGAAAATGCTGCTAAAGCACATGATCTACAAACCCTACACAAAATTACCCAGCAAATTTGCGGAAACAGAAACAATTATCACAGCATACCCATCAGAGATAACCAAGGCAGACTGTTCACCACAGAACAAAAACAAGACATGCAGTGGACTAAACACTTCTCCGACCTCTTGAACAGACCTGATCCTGAAAATCCCCCAGATATTTAACCAGCCTCTCAGGACTTTGACATTATTACTGAACCCCCAAGCAAACAAGAAATCCTTAAAGCTATCCACACTTTAAAGAACAACAAAGCACCAGGCAAAGACGAATTGTCAGCAGAACTTCTCAAAGTAGATCCCAACACAACTGCTAGCATTCTAGAACCATTGTTCAAGGATATTTGGGAAAAAGAAGTGTTGCCTGATGATTGGACTGAAGGAACAATAGTCCAAATCCCCCAAAAAGGAGACCTAACAGACTGCAATAATTGGAGGGGAATTACTCTACTCTCAGTACCAAGCAAAATATTTTGTAAAATCATCATAATGCAGCTTGAAAAAGGAGTAGATAAAATGCCTACGAGTAGAACAAGCAGGATTCAGAAAGGGCAGAGGAACAACTGAACACATCTTCGCCATACGTAATATTTTAGAACAATGCAAGGAATGACAGAGAAGTATATATATAAATTTTGTGGACTGAGAAAGCTATTGACAGCGTCCATAGTGACAGTCTATTAAAAATTTTACAACATTATGGAATTCCAGAAAAAATAGTCAACATAATTGCTCTCTTCTATAAAGTCTTTTCCTGCAGTATAAAAATTACAATACATCTTTCCCAGTAAAGACAGGTGTGAGACAGGGATGTGTTATGTCATCTCTTCTCTTCAACCCTGTGATTGATTGGATACTAAAGAACACAGTAGACAGGACATTGAGAGGCATACGATGGACTCCATTCACCATGCTTGAGGACCTTGATTTTGCAGATGATATAGCACTCCTATCACATAAACATGAACACATACAAGAGAAAAGTAACAGACTACACTGCACAGTAGAAATGGTGGCACTGAGAATAAATACAAAGAAAACTAAGATCATGACAAGCAGTCCAAACCAACAACCAGTGACCATAAATAACCAAACTCTTGAAAATGTAGAACATTTTACATATCTTGGCAGTGTGGTGTCCCTGCCTGGAGGGACCGAAGAGGACATACAGTCACGTCTGAACAAAGCTAGAGCTGCTTTTGAAAGGATGGGGCAAATCTGGAAATCCAACAATTACTGCAGAGGAACGAAACTCTGACTCTACAAGAGCATCATTTTGCCAGTTCTTTAGGAAGCGGAATGCTGGAGAATGACTAAAAAGGATGCACACAAGCTGTCCACCTTCCACCACAAATGTTTATGTAGAATTATCAAAATTTTCTGGCCAAATACAATCTCAAACACTAAACTACTTTAAGTCACAAACCAAGAAACTTTAGACAGTATGATAACCAAGAGAAGATGGAAATGGCTTGGCCACGTTATGAGAATGAAGCCTGATATACCCGCCAAAACAGCTCTCACATGGACACCAGAGAGAAAGAGAAAACAGGGGCGCCCAAAAACAACATGGAGACGAACGATGGAAAGTGACCTGAGTGTGGCATCTTTGACATGGAAAACTGCACAGGACAGGAAAACATGGAAAGTCCTCTCTGAAGCCTCATGTGCCACTAGGCATAAGGAGAACTGATGACTGAAATATGTGTTTTCCTATGGTCCTAGGTGGCCCCTGTCAAATGGTAATTTAACCCCCAAAGGTTGAGAACTGCTTCCTTAAATGAACCAATGACACTTGAGAGCACAAGGCAAACAGCTTGACCCCTTTACCACAGAGACCATAGATGATATAAATGATAGCCTGTACACAGTGTAGCAACTGCCTGGGCAAGCGACCATTATTTCTCATTAATGATAAACACCTGGAGACATCAACAATGGTTCCTGGAGACATCAGCAATGGTTCCTGGAGACATCAACAATGGTTCCTGGAGACATCAGCAATGGTTCCTGGAGACATCAGCAATGGTTCCTGGAGACATCAGCAATGGTTCCTGGAGACATCAGCAATGGTTCCTGGAGACATCAGCAATGGTTCCTGGAGACATCAGCAATGGTTTCCCTTGTGCTCTGAAGGTCATGCATTCATGTTCAGACTGCACTGTTTAGTTCCCTATTGCAATTTCTCTTTAGATCTCTGGGAAGGTTGCCGTTAGAGCTACAGAGTTTGTGCTCTGTGCAACATTCATCAGGCTCCAAACTGCCCTGCAGGAAGAGACTGTGTCTGATGGGATAAAACTTAGTGCAATCAAGTAAATCCCCTAACCTGTAATTCACCTTAATCAACAATGAAACAAATGGCATAATGAAAGTTTAAGTTTCTTTACATGCACATTCTCTGGCTTGGTCTCTTGTCTTATTTGTGCACTGCATCTGAAATCTGACCACTGGAGATTTACTATTCTTCTACCAGATTTGTTCTATTTTTTTAAAATATAAAGCCGCCGTTGCTTTTCAATTCTTGCATCCACTGCCCACTACCAGAACTTTAATAACTTAGGAGGCTGAACAAGGTATCTGAGATTTGTTGAAACAGCTGTTGCATTACAATGTCAGAATGTCACAAGATTACCTAGGATTCAAGGGTTCTTGGGATTTTTTAAAATAGGAATTCAGGGACCATTATTATACCTGCTTCAGACTGACACCAAATTCTTTGGACATTTTTTAAATAGGAATTCAGAGACTGTAATTATAACTTCTTCACAGTTACCTGAAATTCCTAGGGAATTTTCAAAACAGGAATTCAGGGGGTGAAAGGGTTCAGAGTTACCGCTGACAGACAAACTCAAAGATTTTTTAGACAGGCCTCTGACCAAAAATATCCTGCAGTGGCTGCATGAGACAACAAAAGATAGAGAAGTTTGGTAAAAGTGTAACACGGACCCGCTCTCTACTCGGAGGTAAAGGATGAAGAGAAAGAAAGCAATGAA